AGCCTGGTCTACATAGTGAGTTCCAGGCCAGCTGGGGCTACAGGGAGACTCTGTCTCAAAAAAAAAAAAAAAAAAAAAAAAAAAAAGGATACAGCCCCTGAACTCACCACCTCTTATCTCCATGGCTGTCATCTTAATTCAAGCCTCTTGTCATCTCTTACCTGGACCACTTCAGTAAGCCTCCTGACCGGTCTCGTCTCCCTGGGTCTACCACTGCCCTCTACTCTGGTCTCAAAGCATCTCTCACTAGCTCCTCTTTAGGTAGGTCAGAGCATAACACGCTCCTGCTGGAAGCTGTCTAGTGGATTCACTGAGTCAAAGCCAAAATCCTTACATGAGCCCACATTGTCTCATATGATAGAACCACACACACTCCTTCCCGTATCCCTGCTGCATTGGTCTGACCTTCTGACACCACTCTCTCTACTAAAGTCATTTTGATCTTCCTGATGGTTCTCGAACATTTGAAACATGCCTCTTCCCCAGATCTCTGACTAATGTTTGGCTGTTTGTTAATGTCTCCCTAGTTGTCTGTCCCCATGGCTCACCTGATACAGGACACCCTCAGCAAGCACCATACGACTGAAAATGTGAACAGATTCTCTTTGAGATCTAAAACTAGGATTGTCATTGTTATAACTTCTGTTCACCACAGCATTGCAATTCCAGCCAGTGCACAGGACAGTAAGAACAGCAAATACAAAGAAGGGAAAGAAAGTGTTTATTAGTTACCAATGATATAGTAGACTATAAAAGAAACTCAATAGGGAAAGTTCAAGAAATTTATAGGAAAATAGAATTTAGCAAGCCTACTCATATGTAATATCAGCAGGAAATCAATTTTATTTATATCAATTACAAAAAAGTTAATTATAAAATTTCAGAAGTATCATTTAGAGGCATAATTAAGGCACCGTGCTGTTAGAGGGACAGATAAATAGGCCAAAGGACATAATAGCGACCAAAGAATCAGACCAAGGGCACCTGCCAATCCAAGATGAAAAGATGGCCTGTATAATAAGTGGTTCTATGTTAAGAGATGATTAATATTTAGCTGGGGAAGTGGGATCCCTGCCTTACACTGTATACAAAAGTCAGGCTTCCTTAATATTAAGGCCTGTGGAAGGCAAAATTGCATGCTGTGTTAGAAGAAGGTAGTAGATTAAAATGCCTTTGTTTTTAGAGTATCAATCTTTTTAACCCCCAAAATTCCAAACTGTAAAGAAAAGACCGACACATTTTTCCCTCTCTAAGAGAAAACCTATTCATCAACAAACACTCAAAAGACAGTGGAGCTTTAGAAAAGGCTTTAGCCCACAAAGAGTTAATATCTTTTATGTCTGAATGCTGCCTGGGAATCCAGGAGTGAAGATCACTCAGCAGAAAAATGAGGAAAAGGCATTTCACAGATGAAGATCACCACAGGGCCAGCAACCAAAGTAATGTGTGTTCTAATGAGATTCCATTTCTGAACTTGGCAGATTTACAAAAACTGAAGTGCAACATTTTTTCCTTTTTCCATTTTCATCTCTATGTATGTGTGTGCGTGTGCGTGCATGTGCACTCATGTGGAGGCCTGAGGTTGATGTAGGGAATTACCCACAACCACTCCTCCATCTCATTGACTGAGGCAGTGTCTCTTAAACCCAGAGCTCTCCGATATGATTAGTTTTACTAGTCAGCTTGCTCCGGAGATCCTGTCTCTGCCTTCAAGGCTGGAATTACAGGCGTGCTGCCATGTCTGCCTGGTATTTATGTGGGTTCCTGGGATTTGAACTCTAGTCTTCATGCTCGCAGGGAAAATGCTTTAACCACTGAACTATCTCCCTAGCCCCTGAAGTGTGACATTTTTGACCACTGGCAGGGATGTGGAGTCAAGGAAACGTCTGCCACTGGTGGGCATGTAAAATCTTGTGGAAATCCACTGGTGTTATTTTAAAGTGCACACATGTCCAGTCTCAGCTATGCCTGCTCCTGTATCTAAGTGCTTACACCAGCATTACTTTTGACAGCAAGTAACTGGAAACAGAACTGATAACTGCTTTTAATAGTCTGGACACATAAATTATGAACATATAATTTATGTTTTTATACAAAAGAAAATGCATGTAGTTCTGTATAACTATGCTACTTAGCAGTAAAAAAAGATACGGCAGAATTTGTACTTCAATTATATTGTTACTTCAATTCGTTGGTGTGTTGAAATGCTTCAAACTATTTTTTAAAATTTATTTATCTATTTCTATTTTATGTATATGTGTTTTGCTAGTATATGTATAAGTGCACCTGCACCATGCAGTGTCCATGGAAGCCAGAAAAGGGTGTCAGACCCCCTGGAACTGGAGTTACAGATGGCTGTGAGCTGCCTTATGGGTGCTGGGAACTGAACGTGGGTCCTCTGTAAGAGTAGCTAGTGCTCTTAACTGTTGAGCCTTCTCTAGCCCCATACCATTTTCTAATCAAGGAGAAGGGTTCTGTGAATCATTTTTGACTTGAGAATTGGGGACAGTTGGGAGAAGCAGAACAGAGCACAAGGTAACTCTGGGATGCCAAAAATCACAGGGCAGAGCACAGAGAAAAAGGGAAGGAAGTGACTGTCTCCAGCATGCTTCCTCCACATAATGCTGCAACCCAGGACTGGAGAGCTGACTTAGCAGTTAAGAGCTGCCTGTTCTTGCAGAGGACCCGGGTTTGGTTCCCAGCACCCTCGGGGTGACTAACAACCATTCGTAACTCAAGTTCTAGGGGATCTGACGCCTATGCACCTACAGGTGCACTTACATGCAAGGTAAAACACTCATACACATAAGAGAGTTGTAATAAAACTTTCTAAGATGGGAGTCCTGTCAGAGGTCACCCCCAGATAGGAGCCTCAGCCCCAACCCCAGAGGGCATGCTCTCCTGTCTTTCCCATCCCTTCATCCAAGGCACCAGAGGCAAGCAGCCGTTCCCCAAAAGGAATTTGCATTTGGGGAAGGCATATGGTTAACACACTGAAAAACCATTAGCTAGGCAAAGCGGGGTCTTATAACCTAACACTGGACAAACTTAGAAAGGTACCCAGAACAATAAAGAGACCACACAGGGCTAGGGATGTAGTTTAGTTACTAGCGTGCTTGCCTAGGTTACATGAAGCTCTGGGTTCAAGCTTCAGCACCATATAAATTGTGTGTGGTTGTGCACACCTGTAATCCCAGTACTCGTGGTTGAGGCAGGAGAATCAAGGTCAGCCTTGGTTACAGAGTGAATTTGAGGCTAGCCTGGGATACATGAGACCCTGCCTCAAAGAAGAAAATGAGCGCAGAGAGAGAGAATACAGACTGCTAAGTTGAATTAAAGAAACAGAAGAAAACTCAAAAGTAAGTAAGACTAATGGCGTCAAAGAGAGTCAAGACTATTACATTCAACCAAATGAAGAAAAACAGGCTATTAGGGGAAAATAACAGTTGGAATACTTGGAAAATAAAAATGCAATTTAAAAGGGGCAAAAACTCCTACTGTCTCTTGAGTTGGAATATCAAACCAAGGGAATGTATTACAGAAAGACAAGAAGATAGAAAATTTGACAGAAAAACTGGAGTCAGAGGGATCGATATAAACGTTCCAACATCCTTAGGGTGGGAATTCCCAAGGGAGAGAAAGGAAAGGGGGGTGGATCATCGCAAAAGAAATCGGAACTTTTCATATAGCCGAAGGTGATGAAAACTAAGGTTTTCATCCGCAGAGAATCGACAAGGAGCTGTGCTCACAGTACCCAGGTCTGTGTCTTTGTTGCTTGGTTTTGTAAGAAAGAAAGAAAAAAATCCCTTGGGCCATTTTCTTTCTCACTCTGCAAACTGAGATTCCCTTTCATTGCAAGAGGAACAGAAGGATCTAACCCTGTAGGGCATCCTTTATTTTACCATTTTCTCCAGAGACTTGGGTTCGATCCATCTCCACCCTCGCTGAAGGTCCTTTTAGACTGGATCTGATTTTATCATCCGGTGGTATCCCCGACAGTGACATATTTACACTTTCCTTTTTGACGCTGTATGATTCTTATTGTCTCGGTGATGATAAACATAATTAAGCATTTCCTTATCGCTGGAGTGAAATACGTCCTTAGAAACAGCCAGGCCTGAAACTACATAAATCATGTTTAAGTAGAGTGGGGGTGGGGGAGCACTTTGGAGAAATTATTGCTATCAAGAAGGTGTGTTATAGAATGAAACTTTACAAATTAACTGTTTTTCATGTCAGGTCTTGCACAGTCGGGATCCTGGGGCTGTTTTGATGAGTTTAACAGAATTGAATTGCCTGTATTATCCGTGGCAGCCCAACAAATTTACATTGTTTTGACAGCAAGAAAAGAGAGGAAAAAGCAGTTCACTTTTTCAGATGGTGATTGTGTTGATTTAAACCCAGAGTTTGGAATCTTCCTAACGATGGTAAACACATAAGCTTTTAAATGCAAGTTGACTGGTTTAATTGTCATGAACTTTCTCATCATGTGCTTTTAAAAATTTTTATTTATTATTTTTATATTTTTATGTGTATGTGTGTATTGCCTGCATGTAGGTAAGTGCACCCATGTCATGCAATGCCCGTGGAGGACAGAAGAGGCTGTTGAGAACAGTCAGTGTTCTTAACCACTGAGCCATCTCTCCAGCCCCTCATGTGCTTTTTTTTAAAAAAAATTTTACTTTGTTTTTAATTATGTGTGTGTGTGTGTGTGTGTGTGTGTGTGTGTGTCTACGTGGGTATGTGCACGTGAGTGCAGGTTCTACAGAGATCAGAAGAAGGAAGGCATCAGATGCCCTGGAGCTGGAGTTACAGGCAGTTGTGAGCTGGCTGACATGGGTGCTGGGAACTGAATTCTGATCTTCTGCTAGAGTAGCAAGTGCTCTCACTGCTGAGTCATCTCTCCAAACCACCTTTTGAGTAGTAAAATTATCCCAGGTAGAAGATGTGGAGAAGATAAGAGAGGGTTGCGGGGGAGATGCAATCAGCATACATTGTATCCATGTATGAAATTGTCAAATAGCAAAATTAATAAGAATGAACTAACAAGTAGCTCAGACAGAAGATATCATGGTAATATATTAGTACTAGTGGATACTGTTTATTGAGAACTTGTGTGTTTTATGTGTTGAGTCACGTAACTCATGTTACGCTACTGTAACAAACAACCCCCGAAAATGAGTTGCTTAAAACCATGAATGTGTCTTTATTTTTTGTGCCTCGTGTCTACTGTGGGTTGACTAAGGTGGGAGCTGGTCGACTGGGGTCTGCTTTGTACATCCTTATTCTGGCACTAGACTGATCAGGTAGCCACTGTCTCAGTGTAGGGACTGTAGCAAAGGAGCACAGGACAGGAATTATTGTGCTCTGGTTAGAGTTTCTGACACTCTACAACTTTTATGGGAAGAAGGGACTTGCATGACTGCATCTACCATTAAGGAGGCTGAAAGATAGAGTGTGAAAAGTAACCGGAAGGAGGAAGGACCAGCACCATTCGGTCAATCATACTATCAAATGCTGATTGTCTCTTCCTGTAGCTCTGATAACCTCTGAGGTTGGGCGTTTGCCAGCTGAGGCACTGTGTGTGCGCTGTGTGTGTTGTGTATGCAGGTGTGTGCACCCACGCATGTGCATGTAGAGGTCTGAGGTAGTAGGTATTAGGAATCTTCCTCTGTTGGTTGATATTCACTTTATTTTTTAAAAAAATATTTTATTCTATGTGTGTGAGCGTATTGCCTGCATGTAGGTAGGTGCACCAGAGTTGTGCTATGCATTTGGAGGTCAGAGGATGGCATTGGATCCCTTGGGACTGGAGTTATGGACAGTTGTTAGCCACAATGTGGGTGTTGGGAATGGAACCCGGGTCCTCTGCACAAGCAGCCAGTGCTCTTAACTGCTGAGCCATGTCACCAGCCCCTCCACTTTCTGTCTTTCTTTTTTTTTTGAGACAGGGTCTATAACTGAACCTGGAGCTCATGGCCCCCCAGGATCCACTTGCCTCTGTCTCCTAGCACATGTCACAGGTACATGCCAATAAGCCTGGCTTTTACGTGGGTGCTACGGATTGAACTCGGGTCCTCATGCTTGTAAAGCAAGCATTTTACCCACTGAAGCATCTCCTTAACCCACTGCTCTTGTGTATTCTAACACTAAAACCTGCACGTTTAACCTCTATACTTAGTTTTTTTCCTTGACTGCTAATTGAAAGAAATACATTAAAAATTTCAAAATAGGTTATGAAGGTTCTATCCCCAAAAGTTATATAAATTGTGTCACTGTGCGGTTGAAGACAGCTTTGAGATACGCCATTATCAATACTGAAAACCAAAGGCTAGAATTCGGGAAGCAAAGTTCATGATGAGTGAAGTTTAATATTTTTATGTACTAGTTTTGAAGTTAACTCTTTAGGTTACAAGATAACACAAAGTACTACTTAGAAAGCGCCAGGGAACAAAGATAAGTTATAGGAGTTAACGTTTCTGGTAAGCTTTATTTTTAAGCAATTGTGTATTAAAATAATTAGGGGAAGATAATAATAACCCCGAAGTTATCAGTTTTAACTCAGGAAACTAGCTGAAGAAATGAACTCAGGGCAAAAACTTTACAAGGACTTCACCATTCTCCCTGGACTAAGAATAAGATGAAAGGACTGGGGGGTCGCTCAGTTGGTAGAGTGCTTGCTTAGCTGCATAAAGCCCTAGATTTAGTCCCTAGCATCACATCTAGTATAAAATTAAATGTGATGGGACATACCTGTAATCCCAGTACTTGGGAGGTAGAAGCTGAAGGATCAGGAGTTCAAGGTCATCTTTGGCAACATAGTGAGTTTTAGACTAGCTTGGGAGTCAAGAGACCCTGTCTCAAAAGAATATTAGAAATATTACTTAGCTATCACGTTAAACTATGAATAACTGAGACATAAAAAACAGTAGCTTAAGCCAGGGGTGGTGGCTCATGCCTTTAATCTCAGCACTTGGGAGGCAGAAGCAGGTGGGTCTCTGTGAGACTGAGTCCAGCCTGATCTACATAGTGCGTTCCAGACCAGCTGGGGCTACAGGGAGACTCTGCCTCAAACAATCAAAAAGTAGCTTAACAATCAAGGACTCATTCTCTTACAATATAAATCTACTACACTATGGTTTTCATCTTCAAGATCACTGCATGACCTTAAAGCCGTGACCTTAAAGCAGAAAGCATCTCTTTGGTTAGAGCCCACTGATTGAATCAGTCTCCTTCCCAACAAACATCAAGGGTATTTCATGCACGTGTGTGTGTGTGTGTGTGTGTGTGTGTGTGTGTGTGTGTGTGTGTGTGTGTGTGAAATTTGCATTTCACTATGTAGAATATAATCACACCCACTGCAAGACAAGCTGGGAAGTGTAGTTTTTAATCTAAGTAGTGCCATGTCCAGCTTGTAACTGGGGTTTATGACTAAGGAAGGGAAACAGGAACATTTCAAGAACACCAGAAATCCCTGTATTTCCAAAGTCTATTGACAGGACCCACTGAATGCTCAGGAGCTATTTCCTAAAAAACTGTCCTAAACTGACTATTTATTTGTCACTTGTCTTCGAACCCCTAAAGCTTTCCTTTGGACCTGACCGAGCGTCAATCTGTTGTAACTTACAAGGAAGTTCAAGTTTCCTTTCCTTCTGTCCTTTGATTCTTTGCTGTATTTATCTTCATCCTCCTCGTTTCTCTTCAGTCCTGTGGTATTTTGAAATGATCCTCTGTCAACCAAAGAGTTTTATAATTCTGACTACAGAGAAAAATCAAAGCGATAAAATGAGAATCCCCTCGGTAAGATCTGGAGCCGAAATCTCAATTCATGGTCTAAGCATATCTTAGACCGTAACTATTCAGGTATATTTATTCAGTTCTGTTCTTCCCTTTTCTGTTTTTTTCAACCAACGGACACACAGATGCTTAGTTTTTGCTACTCCAAATTGTGTGTGACTTTAATAATGTTCTGAAAATGGATATATTAAAAAGAGCAGTGATATATTATTAAATATGGATGGCCCGATATACATTTTTGAGAAAGCAAGGACATCTTATGAATCCAATATTTTTCAATACTACCTTAGAATATGAACTAGGGGTCTGAAATGTATTTTAATCCAGGAAATGAAAATTGTACCAATAATTGAAAATTAAATATATTTTAACCCTTAGAATCCTGGATATGCCGGGCGACAGGAACTGCCAGAAAACTTAAAAATTCAGTTTAGAACTGTGGCAATGATGGTTCCTGATAGACAGGTATGTACCAGGATTGAAAAGGATAGTATATACATATTATAATATTTTTCCACTAAATTTGCTTAAAAATGTCTCACTGTATTAACTTTCAGATCATTATGAGAGTTAAACTTGCAAGCTGTGGTTTTCTTGAAAATGTTATCTTGGCTCAAAAGTTCTATGTTCTTTACAAACTCTGTGAAGAGCAACTTACTAAACAGGTAAGTGTGTGTTTATTTTATACATAGGTAGAGAGTTTAGGCTATTATTTTAAGAAACTATGTGTATGAGTGTGTGGGTAGGCAGATGTAAGTGCTGGAACCTGTGGAGGCCAGAAAAGGGCATCAGATCTCCCCTGGAGCTGGAGTTACAGGAAATTGAGCTGCCTGAAGGGGATCCTGGAAACTAAACTGGGGTCCTCTGCAAGAGCAGTATGTGCATTTAGCCGCCGCTCCAGGTCCTGAGTTTTGGGTTTTATTTTGGAATTTTACTTTGATAGATGCTAATCAGTGAACTTAAAACAAATCTCATGGACTTGTTCCTAAATGTATTTATAATGAACCTGACCTATTGATTTAAAGACTTATTTACTTGAAAATACATGTAGATTTCCAGGGATTTGCAAACAAATGCCGGGAGAGATGAGTACCCTTCACCTTTTCCCTCCAGTCTTGGCATTTCATAACCAGAGATAGAAACACAACCAGAAAACTGACACTGAACAATCCACAGAGTGCTTTAGGGTTTCACCACTCATATAATGTACTCTTGGGGTGTGTGCGTGTGTGTGTGCATGTGTGTGTGTGTGTGTAAGTGCATCGCATTTGAAGATTCATCTATCTGCCACCACCACCAACACACAGAACTATGTCACAAGGTTCCCTCATGCCACATCTTTATAGCCCCATCTTTCTCTCTCCCAAATCCCTAGCCTGTCGCAGCCATCAATCTTTTTCTCTGCCTGTAATGTGATTTCAAGGATGTTCTGTAAATGGAATCTTAAAATGTGTGACTTACAGGCTATGCATTTAAAGTCTACTTGTTTGTCACTCAGAATACACCCGTCTATATTATTCTGAAATGAAAGTTAAGGTTCGAATCCTGTCATTAGAACTTGATTTTTCCAATGGAATGATCATGTTTAGAGTCAAAAGAAAAGGAGCTCAGCTACTCCAAAATGACAGCAGAATATCTTCCAATATCTTTCCCATCTTTTTTCCCATCGTAGGTCCATTATGACTTTGGATTGAGAAATATCCTATCTGTATTGAGAACCCTTGGATCCCAGAAAAGAGCCAGACCAGAAGACAGTGAACTAAGTATTGTCATGAGGGGACTACGAGACATGAACCTGTCTAAACTGGTATAGTTTCCTGAATTCACATCTTTTCTGAGATTTGACCTAGTTTCTTTCTATTCATCTGACATGGGGTTGGGGGGTGGGGCTGGTTCACATTGAGCTCTGAACACCAGTAGTTACAAAGCTAATGAGTGTGCTTCCAGAAGAAAGCCAGAAACCTCAGTCCCCTGAAGATCAGCATTTGGTGAAGTGGCTCCCCTATCAGCTGTATGCAGTAAAGGAGGCTTCCCTCCAAACTTTTAATCCAGTTTCCTTCTTTTTTAAAAAAAAATCTTATTTTAAACTTTTATTTATTGATTTCGATTTTATGTATCTGAGTGTTTTACCTGCATGTATGTAAGTGCACCTGTGTCATGCAATGCCCACAAAAGCCAGAAGAGGGTGATGGATCCCCTGGAACTGGAATTACTTGGTTATTAGCTGTCATGTGAGTGCTGGGAATTGAACCTAGGTTCTCTGAAAGAGCAGCCAGTGCTCCTGACTGCTGAGCCATCTCTCTAACACTTCCATTTCCTTTGAAAATAATCACATCATTTAGTGTGGTGTGTGTGTGTGTGCGCGCACGCACATGCATGCCATGCCACTCATATGAAGGTCAGAGACAACTTACAGGAGTCATTTCTTTCTTTCAACTGTGTGCCCAAGGATATAACTCAGATTTATCAGTTTTGGCAGCAAGCACTTTTACCTGCTGAGCCATCTAAACAGCCCATAAAGTTTCCTACCATATTCATGGAGTAACAAACTCTAAGCATGAAACTCTGGATTCATGGGAAACTATGAACACTTTGTGCTGTGTGTGTCACTTGCTCAGCTTCAGAGCTCTCTCTCTAGACAGCAATACAGTTTCTATTTTCCAAAAATGTACTGAATGTTTCCTGTAGGAATTAAAGAAGTTATTTCACTGCTTTCATGTTTATTATGGAGGGAGCAACGAGGCCAGGTTTATGTGCTGTTAGATGGACTCCTGTGTGCCACATGCTGAGTTCTGGGTGTATAGGTTGGGGGAGAGATGGTGTGTACGAAGTTTAAGCTCTAGTTTCCAAGCTCACCACTAACATCTCTGTAGTTTACTGCTTTGCAAAGCCTTCTCAAATGTATTTTTTTTTTGTTTGAGCCTCTCAGCAGCTCTGTGGGAGGTGGATGGCTCGTTGACCTGTCACTTTTGCCTGTAGGAGAACTCTGAGAGGTAGGAGGATTGGCGTTCTGATGCCAGATCCTCTGTCCCTTCTAGCACACCCAACTGCTTCTTAAACATCCAAATACTTGAAACTCTTGGACAAATAGTCAAGAAAGCATCAATACATGCTGGAGAGGTGGCTCAAGTGGTTAAGAGCTCTTGCTGCTCTTCCAAAGAGGACCAGAATTCAGTTCCCAGCACCCATGTTGGGCAGTTCACAACCTCCTGTAACTCTACCTTCAGGCGATCTGACACCCTCTTCTGGCCTTATGGGGCACTGCACTCATGTGCACGCCCACATTAATAAAAAGGAAAACACCAGGGGAACTCCAGAGGATAGGAGATCAAAAGGGGCTGGAAGTTGGGAAAGGGGAAATCTTTGTGTTACAGACAGAGCAAATGAAGATTTGGACTCAGTTTATTCAAACCTACTCCTTAAAAAAGGCAAAACTCCACACTGATGGAATTTTCCAAACCAATGTTGGATGACGTCATAGAGGGTTATGGATGAATGAAGTACTTTGGATGAACTATCAATATTGGGACAATAAATTGCATATTTTAAGGTTAATATGAACACCAGTCTGTGGAAAGCAGAACATTCCATATTATGATAAAGTAGTGTAATCAAACTTTGGACACATTGTTCTGACTAGGAGATTAATAAATGATTCTCTGGAAATGAAGTAGTGAGGACCATGTATATCCCATCCAGCCAAGAGATGTTTGTCGACTGAATAAGCTTGTTTTAACCCATGCCACCCTAGGTTGATGAAGATGAACCCCTGTTTCTCAGCTTAATTAATGACCTGTTCCCAGGGCTACAACTGGATAGTAGTACTTATGTGGAACTGCAAGATGCAGTGGCTCACCAGGTCCAGCTAGAAGGTCTGATTAACCACCCGCCCTGGAACCTCAAACTAGTGCAGGTAAGTGAGTGTGTGTGAGTGGCCATTACACAGTACACGTCTTACTTGATGTAAGTGTTGAAACTAAATTAAAATGCTCTGTGTAAGTCATTACATGAAGAGTCCCCAGGGAGATGTCGCTGTTCTATAGAGAATTGTTTGCCCTGTCTTGTAGTCATCTGGCAGTTCCTTAGCCTACTTGTTATTTAAACCTGGTGACAAGGTTAGATGGTAACCAGAGTCTCAAGAACAGTTGGGATGGAAGGTTCAGCAAACTAGGTGGTTTTATGCAGCACTTAGGGAGTATTGCCTGCAGCTGAGGCCTCAGTGGGGTCCAGAGTTGAGCCTGGGCATGCTACTTTGTTTCTGCTTTGCGTGTGTGTGTGTGTGCATGTGCACGTGTTCTATCCTTCTTTGTGACTTCTTTGGTATCTTGTTTGTTTTTAAATATTTTATTTTTATTTTATGTGTATGAGCACATACATGTATGTAAGTGCATCCGTGTTGTGCAATGCCCGCAGGGGTCAGGAGAGGGCATCAGATCCCTTGGAACTGGAGTTACGGATGGTTGTTAGCAGCCGTGTGGATGCTGGGACTCAAACTTGGGTCCTCTGCAACAGTAGTCAGTGTTCTTAACTGACTACTGACTGACTACTGCTGAGTCATGTCTCCAGCCTCTGTTTGTTTTTACATAGGTCTCTAGCCCAGACTGGCTTTGAACTCATTTCGTTAAAAAACATTTTTTTTATGTATATGAGTGTTTTGCCTGCATGTATGTACTATGTATGTGCAATGCTCATGGAGACCAGAAGAGGGCATCAGATCTCCTGGAACTGGAGTTAAGGATGGTTGTTTGCTGTCATGTGGGTGCTGGAAACCAAACCTGGGTTCTCTGCAAGAGCAGCCAGTGCTCTTAACCACTAAGCCATCTCTCCAGCCTTTGAATTTCAACTTTTTATGTAGCTGAGGATGACTTTGAGCTCTTTATCCTTTTTTGCCTCCACCTCTGGAGCGCTGAGATTACAGGTGTGTACCATCACCCCTAGTTTATACAGTGCTGAATATGGAACCCAGGGCTTCATGTATGCTAGACTACGTCCATAGCCCACGCTCTGTGCTTTGTGTCCTTAGTATGTCTCCTTGAATCCCTTCTGTGTCTCCGTCTCTGTGCGCTTTTGCTTCTAGTAGCGAAAAGAGAAGCCTTGGAGCCACTTTCTGGGTGGGTACAGGACGGAGTTTCTTCCCATCCCTGCTCTCCTAACTCACACTCTTCTCTGCCTCTCCTCTCCTGAGGGTACTCTCTGAATAAAACACACAGGAAAAATCCTCATTCACTGGGTTTCTAGGGACCCAAAAGGCCCCTGGAGCATCCTGGATCTTCACAGAGATGCTGTGTGTTGCTGCTGTCCACCACTAGGGGGCGACATCATCACACCGCATGCAGAGAACATTTGCATGCAGTAGTAGATCACCACACCCAGATCATAAGGGATAGCAACCCGCGAGGCAGAAACCGGATCCTGAATTAATTACTTCCAAAATCTAATTCAAGTTCCATACTGTCATCATTTTATCACTTACGCCGTTTTTAATGCGGTGCTAATTTGCTCCCCACATCCAGTAAAACAAAGAACATTTTAACATTTAAAATACCCAACGAGTGACTTTAATGAAGAGCTTATTTAAAGCCTTTTAAATTTCAGCTGACTCCCAGTGAATGTCAGCAGAGACTTATAACTTCCATTTTCCTCTGTGTCGTTTAACCGTGCAGTTATATGAGACATCTCTGGTACGGCATGGCCTGATGACTCTTGGGCCCAGTGGTTCTGGGAAAACAGCGGTTATAACAATTCTGATGAAGGCTTTGACAGAGTGTGGGAGGCCCCACAGAGAGATGCGAATGAATCCAAAGGCGATTACTGCACCTCAGATGTTTGGCAGACTGGATACCGCCACCAACGACTGGACAGATGGGATTTTTTCCACTCTGTGGAGGAAGACATTAAAAGCTAAAAAAGGTACTTGTGGTTCTCCTTTGAAAATACTTTTTCTCCGCAAGTTTATTAACAATAACATGGTATTTACTTAAGTTTTTGTTTTAATGATCCGCCAGTGTAAAAAGTGATTTTTTTTTCTGTCATAATTGCAGGTGAAAACATCTTCCTCATTTTAGATGGCCCTGTGGATGCCATTTGGATTGAGAATTTAAATTCTGTGCTGGATGATAACAAAACTCTCACACTGGCTAACGGAGATCGCATTCCCATGGCCCCTAACTGTAAGCTGTTGTTTGAGGTGCACAATATTGAGAATGCCTCTCCTGCCACGGTTTCGAGGATGGGCATGGTCTATATCAGCAGCTCGGCGCTCAGCTGGAGGCCAATATTACAAGTAGGAGCAAGAGACATGGGGTCTTAGCATATTTTTGTGTGTTTGTGTCTGCGTGTCTGTGCATGTTCATATGTGTGTTTATGCCGTGGAAGCCAGAGAGCAACTGTGGATATTGTTCCTTAATCCATCCACATTAAAACAATATTTTGGGTTTTTTTTTTTTTTTTTTTGAGACAGGGTCTCCCTGTAGCCCCAGCTGGCTTGGAACTCATTATGTAGACCAGGCTGGCCTTGATCTCACAGAGATCTGCCTGCTTCTGCCTCCTGAGTGCTGGACTTAAAGGCATGCACCACCAGGACCAGCTCCCCACCCCCAAGTTTTTGGATTTATTTATTTCATGTGTATGAGTGTTTTGCTTGCATGTATGTAAGTGCACTGTGTGCATGTAATGCCTGAGACAGAAGAAGGTATCAGATCCCCTGGAGCTGGAGTTATGAACAGTTGCTAGTTGCCATGTGAGTGCTGGGAATTGAACCTGGGTTTTTGAAGCCTGTGCTCTCAACTGCTGAGCCATCTTTCCAGCCCCTCACATTGGTTTTTTTTTTTTTTTTTCCTTTTGAGGCAGTGTCTCTCACAGGCCTGGAACGTACCAAGTGGGCTGGGCTGACTGGCCAGTGAGACCCAGGAATCTGCCTATCTCTGCTTCCCCAGTGCTTGGATAACAAGTGTGTACCACTGTGCATGACTTCTTTCGTGTCAGGTCTGGGGCTTGAACTCATGTCCTCTTGCTTGCAAAACAAACACTTCATCAATTGAGCTGCTTCCCAGCCCTGCGTTTTTCTTAATAAACACAGATTCTGTTCTTTGTCCTCAGGCATGGTTGAAGAAACGCACTGTGCAGGAATCCACTGTGTTCCTGGCTCTGTATGACAAGACATTTGATGATACCCACACATTCATGAAATTAAACCTCAACCCAAAAATGCAGCTCCTGGAGTGCAATTACATTGTGCAAGTAAGATTTGCTTTGTTCCATTTTGTGCATCTACTGCTTAGACTTCAAGCTTCTAACTCAGTTGCCCCTTAGGGGAATTTGGAATAGAAAGTTCATACAGTCCACTGAACTCTTTTTTATGATGTGGCCAGGAAGGCTTTGACAAGTTTGATCCCTGTTGAAGACTTTAATGAATGATCTCACTGTCATCTCATGACCATTTTCAAATCCCAGGGGCGGAGGGATGAATCTGTAATCTAATATCGAACTCTGGAGCTGGAAGCAACCTTATGCTGCGTCTGGAGGAGGGCTTTTGCTTTTTCAGATTGAGACTCAGTGGCAGGGGTGGGATTAGAATCCACATTTGCAGGTTCCCAGGTTGGCATCGTTTGTGGGACACAGTCCATCTGAGCCTTGATTAGTGGGTCCTCTAAAGCTGGGGGATGTAAAGGTGGTGACCAGCAGGTGTTTCTGCCCCCTTTTCTCTCTCTGTCTTCCTTTCAATTTTATTCTCCCAGTTTTCTTGACCTGAGCATTTCTAATGTAAAAAATGTATCTTATTTTTAAATTTGTTCCAGTCTCTCACTCTTCTGGAAGGTTTAATTCCCTCCAAAGAAGAAGGTGGCATTTCATCTGTCAATCATCTTCAAAAGCTATTTGTGTTTGGTCTGATGTGGAGTTTAGGCGCCCTTCTGGAACTGGAAAGCAGAGAAAAACTTGAATTATTTTTCCGGGGTCACGAAAGCAAGTTAGACCTACCAGAAATACCTAAAGGCACCAATCAAACCATGTATGAGTTTTATGTTACCGATTATGGTAAGTAGAGTGAATAATTATATAAATGAAATTAACTTTTTTTTTTTACTTCAGTAGGAAAAATACAGATTTCTATAAACTATTCTAAGAGTTGGGATACTCTACCAGTTGTGAGTAACGTAACCGTGAATACCATTTTAAAAGGGACTATATGCAAAGGACAGAATATTTATATATTAGCTATGCTGCGGGCTGGTGGAGACCTCCCTGAGTAAAATCTGACTTGAGAAGGGACGCCTCTACATTACCTTCATTCTAGTGCTTAGAGAGGAGGAAGCTAGCAACAGGGAGGACAGAATTTTCCTGACACAGCACCTGGAAACACATGCAGTAGATGGGTCCCACAGTCTCTCTGTTGCAGATGTCAGGAGTACAGAGTGGACCCAGCAGGTGGGGCCCTGTTTCCCTGCAGGACCCCTCCCCAGCTCACCTCTCCTTGAAAGAAATGCCCTTAAACTTGGTGTGTTTAGTTCAGGTCCCAATTCTTCTAAGACTCAGTGAGAAAAAAACAAAACAAAACAAAATGAAAAAAACCTAACAACAAATTCCTGTTCTTTATTTTCTGTATTTACCTCTGTGTCTTCCTAAAACTCCTAGAATAGCAAATATATATATGTATGTATATATATATATGTATACACATATTTATATGTTTTCTTTGACTGCATAAACTCAAAAGGATAAATAGAACAGGATGGAAGTCAGCAATATAAAAAAATCATGTAAGCAAGAGGGTGGAAGGCATGTGTGGTCTTTTCTTTAGCATGAGTTTGTGGGGGGCACAGCTAAGTCCTAACCTGACAGCAGGAAAAGTTGAAAAGCAATTTTTGTGTCTCACAGAAGGAAAACATGGAGCTCGCAACCAGAGGGCTGGCTCTGAGCCTCTTTAAGAAAAAATCTCCTAACCCCCTTTCCAAAGCCTCTTGCAAGACAGCTGTGCCCACTCGGCACTGCAGAGGGCTAAGGGAAGAGATTTAGTTTGAAGAATGAAAAACAGTTTCCTAGGCACCTTTGAGGGTGGGAAAATCATGTCACCAAAGGTAAGAGAGTGTACATTTGTGTTGGAAAGGAGTGAGGCAAATGAATTTCCAGTTGGCTGTCTTTAAGACAATGACTCGCAATTCTGCTTCATAAAATTAGATCTAATGATAAAAGGGACCCAGTTGAGGATGCAAATAATAAGTAATGAATCCTTACATCTAAACAGGGCTTCTCTTAGAACTCAAAGCCAAACTTCTCCAGACAGTTGCCCACACTTGTGAACAACCCACAGTTCTGTCGTGTTTGAAGGTCCAGACAGAATGTGCTCTGAGGGTGTTCCTCTGAGTTCCTTAGGGATAGAAGTCCATGTACAGCACTTTCCCAACCACACGATGCCAATAATGATGCTAATTAAATCATTTCCCCCATGCCATCAGGAGTAGACTTTGTTCTAGTTCTTAAAAAAGTAGACCACTAATATTTCTGCCATTTTCTTCTAAGTGGCCAGCGCTGGTTCTGTGAGTGTAAACAATGGTGTTTTCTTGATTTTACTGTTTACGTCAACAGAAGGTTGGTAACACTTAAACTCACATTCTTCCTTCAAGGGGGTCCTGAGATGGGTACTAACTGAAATATTGGGCTGTGCCAAACATCTGGTCTTTAAAAGTTTTTTTTAAATCATTTATTTGTGTGTGTGTGTGTATGTGTGTGTGTGTGTGTGTGTGTGTATGTGTATGTATGTGTGTGCACCAGAACATGAATGTGGAAGTCAGAGGACACTGTGGGAAGTGGGAGTTAGTTCTTTCCATCCACTACGTGGTTTTGGGAATCTTAACTCAATTTGTCAGGCTTGGCAGCAAGCACCTTTACCCACTAAGTCATCTCGCAGACTCCCTCCAGTCTTGCTACGCCACATAATTAGCACTGATAAAATTTATTTGCCTGAATATATATACCCATGGAATGAATCAAGACAGTACATGCTTAGTGGTCATAAGGGGCTCTGAGTTCTTTATCATGGTTTTTTTGAGACAGGGTCTCAGTGTAGCCCTGGGTAGCCTGAAACTTGCTATGTAGACCAGGCTAGCCTCGATCTCACAGAGATCTGCCTGCTTCTGCTTCCCAAGTGCTGGGATTAAAGGTGTGTGCCACCACACCCAGGATATATGTGCATTCTTGTGGTCACTCTTGTCATTCAATTATCAGCATTTTTGAAAGACTTCATTCTTGAATTTATAATTAAATATAAATATAGAAGTTTCTGCTTCTAAGCCAGATGGAGTAACAGGGTCTCGGGTCAGCGTCTAACGTTAGACAAAGCTTATGAGACAGTGTTATTCAGACATTGGACAAAGCAGCAAAGGACTAGAATAACGGGGATAATAAGGAAGTTTCTAGCAGGAACTTAGGGAAAACCAACCAGAACTACCAGTCTTGCCAGAGTGAGGGGCAGGGATTGATTCAGAGGAGGCCACCTGGCTGGGATTTTCAAGACAGAGCACCTGGACAGAGGGACCCTCAAGAGAGGAAGGGCCAGAGAATGGTGGGAACTAGTAGCCAAATGCACAAATGTAAAAAGTTAATAATTACTTGAGAGATCAAACCGACATTAGGAAGTAGAAGATTCGAGGAACTCGATCAATGTATTTTACTTAGTTGACAGTTATACAACAGTCCACTCCCACACAAGCAGAATTTATTTTTCTTTTTAAGAGCCCAGAAACATTTACAATAATATTCTGGGTTGTAAAACATTCAGAATAGGGAGACTTTATAGCACTTCATGTCTACATTGCAAAAGAATAAAGGTTTCAATTAAACCCCAAGTAAACAGAAGAAAGAAAAAAAAAAAAACAATTAAAACAGAAATCAATGAAATAGAAAATAGGACAGTAAGTAAAAGATGAAACTAAAAGATGATTCTTTGAACATATCAATAAAAGTGCTATTGCTTTTTATGGGCTGGGTTGATGTGTCAGTTGGTAAAGTGCTTACTATGCAAATGTGAGGACCTCAGTTTGGTCCCCAAAACCCATGTAAGAAAGCCATTGTGGGGGTGTGTGTGTTTAATCCAGCACTAGGGAGGTGGAGACAAGGTAGGTAGCACCTGGGGCTCACTGACCAACCAGCTAAGCCTCAGCAGTTAGCTCCAGGCCGTGGGATACTCTGTCTCTAAAACAATCACAACAAAAACACCAAGGCAGATAGCACCTGAGAAGTGACACCTGAGGTTAGCCTCCGACTTCCACATGCATGCACACATATGAATATGCACACATGCACACACATATACAAACACACCTAGTAAGTAAATAACAATTGACAAGAATGAAAGAGGGAACATTACAGAAGTTGATGTCTTAATGTGTTTTAGGATATGGTATAAGTGTTTATATAAACTAATTGATTAAAAAAACACTTAAATTTGCATATTCTGACAACTTTCAAAGACTACATTTTGATTAAGATGAAATTGTACTTATGTAGGTGACTGGGAGCACTGGAGTAAGAGGCTTCTGCCATACTATTACCCGACAGACAGTATTCCGGAATATTCATCTATCTTGGTTCCAAACGTTGACAATATTAGAACCAATTTTTTGATTGACACTATCGCGAAGCAACATAAAGTAAGTTTGATAGATTCTTAGGTGATTGCAAACCATTTAAGGAGCATATTCTCTTTCACACGCTACAAAAAGCAAATTAAATTCCAACAGAAGAGTCATTAGAGGGAGACACTTTTAGCTATGGCTCCACGTGCAGGATATTCTTCAACTCTGCACCCTCCGAGCTGCCGAAGAACATGGGTGTGTTTCCAGAGTCTCTTTCACACTCTATTCCACCATATTCTCTTCCAGGACCTCTATAGCACTGTATACTTTTTACATTGAAATTGTAATTGCATTAAGAGTTTGGGTGGAGGTATAGTTGCACAACTTTTTAAAATGCATAGTATTTACTTACAGACCCCCAAGTAATGGAAAATCCATAAAGTATTTGATAGTAAACTCTTTATAATGACTGTCAACACAATTCTCGCACAATTACAGGCTGTTTTGCTCACGGGTGAGCAGGGAACTGCAAAAACTGTAATGGTAAAGGCCTATTTGAAAAAATATGATCCTGAACTACAGCTAGCCAAGAGTCTAAACTTCTCCTCTGCCACAGAGCCAATGATGTTTCAGGTAGAATCCATCGTTTGCTGTGGTAATAAACATTAAAAATTTAAAGTGGTGTTTTCAATAAAATGAGTTCTCCCCCTGTCTTGTTTGTGTGTGTGTGTGTGTGTGTATGCCTTTGTGAGTTTATGTGTGCCACATATGTGCAGTACCCACAGAGGCCAGAAAACAGCATCAGGTCCCCTTGAACTGGAGTTATAGATGGTTGTGACCGACCAGGCGGGTGCTGGATACTGAATCCCTGTCCCCTGTAAGAGCAGTAAGTGCTCGTAACCGCTGAGCCGTCTCTACAGACTTAAGCTTGCTTTTTTATAACTGAATTTGAAGCCAGATTTGAATAACATATTTTGGCTTAATGTTGAGACTGAGGCTGGACTTCGGAATATATCTATTTTAAGATACATGGATGGTTAACATTCCCATCCACTTGAATTTGCTAGATACATAAGGAAATTATATTCTACTTTGAAAAAAGATGATGGTGTTCAGAGATAAGGACTGAAATCTGGTAAATACACCAAAGAATTTCTTTTTTTCCAGAGAACGATAGAAAGCTATGTGGATAAGAGAATGGGAAGCACCTACGGGCCCCCAGGAGGAAGGAAGATGACTATATTTATTGATGATATTAATATGCCTGTGATCAATGAGTGGGGAGATCAGGTATGTGTAAGAGACTTCATGTAGAGGATGTTTCATCAGTGTTTGTAGCTATTGTTATTATTTTAATATTTTATTGTTTTTATTTTATGTGTATGAATGTATCACCCGCATGTACGTAAGTGCACCCCTGTCATGCAGTACTCTTAAAGGTCAGAAGAGGGCCTCAGATCCCCTGGACTGCAGTTACGGAGAATTGTTAGCTGCTATGTAGGTGCTGGGAATTGAACCCAGGTCCTCTGCAAGAGCAGTCAGTGCTCTTAACCGCTGAACCACCTATCTAGCCCTTTACTATTATTTTTAAAAATAGTTTTAAAAGCCGGGCGTGGTGGCGCACGCCTTTAATCCCAGCACTTGGGAGGCAGAGGCAGGCCGATCGTTGTGAGGTCCAGGCCAGCCTGGCCTACCTACCGAGTTCAGGTCAGCTGGGACTACAGGGAGACCCTGTCTCAAAAAGACAAAAAAAAAAATAGTTTTAAAGCTGTGTGTGTGTGTCTATGTGTGGATATGGCATGTGTGAATGCAGTATCACAGAAGCCAGAAGAGGGCATCGGATCCCCTGGAGCTGGAGCTATAGGGCTGTGGTCTCTCAGTGTTGGTGATGGGAATCAAGCTCAGGTCCTCTGCATGAGCGGTAGGCGCTCTTAACCACTGAGCTGTCATTCCAGCCCAGTGTTTTCAGTCGTAAGCAATCACCTGCATGTTAAGTCTAACAACAGTGCTCAGCTTCATTGACTTCTGTTTGAAATCCATCTATGGTTTCCCAGAATGCCTTCTGGCTGCTTGGCTACGTGATTTCTGTGCCAAGTCTGGCTTCTCTGTTCTCTGACTTTCCCCTGGTTTCATACTTGCTGTGCTGGCTAGCTTTAGTGTCAACTTGACACACCTAGGTTGAGGGAGCCTCAGTTGGGGAATTGCCTCCATAGGACTGGGCTGTGGCCATGGCTGTGGGGCACCTTCTTAATTGTTGAGTGATGTGCAGGGCCCAGCCCACTGTGGGTGGTGCCACCCCTGGGAAGGTGGGCCTGTGTTGTATAAGAAAGCAGGCTGAGCAGGGGCCACGGGAGCAAGCCAGTAAGCAGTGATCCTCCATGGCCTGTGCTCCAGCTCCTGCCTCCAGGTTCCAGCCCTGAGTTCCTTCCTTGGGCTCTCTGGTGAACTGTGACCTGGGAGATGTAAGACAAATAAGCCCTTTCCTCCCCAAGTTGGTAGTGGTCAGAGTGTTTTGTCAAGCAATGGAGAAACAAACTAGGATACTTGCTCTGTCATCTCTGAAGACTATGGAATGGCAAAACAAGTCTAAACAAACCAGCAAAACCAACAAAACTCCCCATCTGACTCATTCACTCAACTGTACACCATGGTCTGAGTTGCCATCCTCTATCTGTCCATCATTTTCAATTGGAGAACTTCACCAGCATGGCCAGAATCTGGCATGCTCCTCATTCACACCCAGTGACATACGTGATCACCATCTTAGCTTGAGCCCCCCAGGCCTGGTCCTGTATTCCCGTTTCTGCTCTTTCTTCCTGTCCAGTCCAGGCATCATTAGAAGCGCATCCTGAGATCAATCTCCGTGTAGCTCTGCGTCATCCTTCACTGCTTCAGGGACCTCAGCAGTTTCTGGAAGGTGGAGGCATTTTTAGCTCCGACTTGCCTTCATCATCTATAAGCTGAGGAGCTCCTGAGGTCCATGTTCAACTAGGGGTGCCTAGTTGGATCTCAAACTTAAAATATCCCAGATTTGCTTGGCCAAGAGCCTTCTCTAACTTAAGAATAGCTGCCCCACACCCAAGCATGTCACTTTGCCTTCAAGCTGTATGAGAAATTTGGCTTCCGCAGCTCCCATCTGGTGCCAGCCACCACCATTTTTATCATCGGGTATTGCAAGTTCCTCACTGCTTCCTGCTTCCCTCTCTCAGTCTTTCTCAGGCCAGCGTCCAATGAAAACCTAAGTCAGATCGTGACACATTCCTCTGCACAAAATTCTCTAGGACTTACAGAATACAAACACCAGAACTACAATGATCTCCCATCTCCAAAGCCCTTCACTCTGCCGTATCTAATGGCCCTATGCGTGGAAGCTTATATACTGTACTTATCTTATTTGGTGTCTTTGCAGATGATGTTCCCTCAGCAGCTAATCCTTTTTCCCTGACTGGCTCACCTTCTTACCTCCTTAGATGTTAGCTAACATGTCAGGCAGAGAAGCCTTCCCCACTCTCCATGTACAGTTAACCCCCCGAGAGCCTTCTATGTCATTTGTCTGTTTATTTTCTCTAAGACACGTAGTCCTCTATTTTATTTGCATAACAAGCCTACACTTGTATGTTTGTGGTCTACCTTGTTGTACGTGCCACGAAGATGTGTATATGAACAGAGTCTGGCACACAGCATTTGAACACTGGTTGCATGAAAGAATGTTCTCTTTGGGGTGCTTGTGTGTCACCCCTTGAAGATAGAAATTTCGATACAGATTTGGAGCGTAGAAGGGAAGCTGCGGCTACAGCAACAGCGTCTCTGAAATTGTGAGGAGGGGGATGGGAACTCTAGCAAACCGTTCAATGTAAGGGTGGGCGGGTAAAGAGTGTCTAAGGAATGATCTAGAAGTCATCAGATGAGTCTCGAAAGAATTACAGCTCTGAAACCACGGCAGGAAATTTTTTTTTCAAGAAGGAAGGACACTGCCATTAGAAGCTAGAGAGAGGAGTCCATGAACTCCAAACCCAAACATTCAGTAGTACAGAATAATCAGAGCTCAGGCTGAAACCAGTTGCACAGTCTCATCCAATGTATTGAGAAGCACTGAGTGTTAAGTGTGAGAGAGCTATGTAGTCAAATTTGCAACTCTTAAGTACTGTTGAAATTGTACCAAGTATTCCACAACCATCTGCTTATCAATGTGGTGAAGGGCACGTTGAACTCACACTGGATGTGTTTAACTTACCACGTGAGCGTTCATGGTGGCATCACTGCATTGAAATTGCCTCGAAGAAGGCAATGATAAAATCACAGTCGCTTCCTCGGCAGGAGCCGAATGTTTCCTGCTAATCTCGCCTGCGCTATTTTGTAGGCGCTCTGTTGGAACAGTGATGTGTTAAGAGATATTGCTGAATGAAATTTCAGATAACAAACGAGATCGTGAGGCAGATGATGGAGATGGAGGGGATGTACAGTTTGGACAAGCCTGGAGACTTCACGACCATTGTTGACGTACAACTCATAGCGGCGATGATTCATCCTGGAGGGGGCCGGAATGACATCCCACAGCGGTTGAAGAGGCAGTTTACTATGTTCAATTGTACACTGCCTTCAAATGATTCCATAGACAAAATCTTTGGTATGAATATTATAGGTGTTTAATTTTTGATTGCATTATGTAAAAGACATAAACCATGCAAAATTTTACTTAAGAGACAAAGAGTCTGCTGAATTGGGAATTAAGTACTGAAATGGACAGCTAAGTGCTAATACTAAGATAACACACATTTACAGCCTGTTCTAAGACTCACAGGTACTTAGAAGAGTCTTGCTGAAGGTTGGCATAAGAGGTGAGGGAAGGGCTGGGGAGATGGCTCAGTTTAAAGTGCTTGCCCATGCAAGCAAGGGGAACTGAGTTCAGTCCCCCAGGACCCACATAAAAAATAAAGTCAGGGCCAGGTGTCTCAAAAAGACCCCCCCCCAAAAAAGTCAGGCATGGTGTTGTCCTAGTGCTGGAGAGGTAGACGGGGATTCATGTTGTTTGCTGGGTGGCCAGCCTTGTCTACTTGGCAAGATCCAGACCAATGAGAGACTCTTGTCTTTTTTTGTTACTTGGTTTTGTTTGTTTGACACAGGGTCTCCTTGTAGCCCCTAGCTGACCTGGAACTCCCTATGTAGACCAGGCCAGCCTTGAACTTACAGAGATCTGCCTGCCTCTGCTTTCCGAGTGCTGGGATTAAAGGCGTGTGCCACTACACTGGGTCTGAGAAAATCTGTCTTGATAAAGGTGAATGGCACCTGAGGAACAGCGGGGGTTGTCCCCTGACCGGCATGTGTAAACGTGCACATCTACTAGCACACACAAGTGTGCACACAAACACACACACACACACACACACACAACACAAAGGTGAAGGAAATGTTATGTTTTGTCCTTACATGGTTAGCCAGGGAAATTTGGGCAAAGAAATGACAGTATTTCCACATCAACTACAAATTAATAATGAATAGCATTTTGATATGCTAATAAAATTAAGATTTCTGAAATAGGCACATATAACTTGTACTATGAAAAATTATGTAATATAGAAAGACTAATCTGTGCATAGATTGACATGATTGCTTGATGGGCAGGCACTGGAAATCAGAATGGAAAGGGGTGACTTTGAACAGAAGGTGCCAGAACAGTCAGTAGTTTATAGGGGAAACCATTGAAATCAGACCCCTCCCACCTCATACCAAAGCACAGAATCAAATGCAGGTGGATTAAGTGTCTAGCTATGGAAGCAAAGTTATTAAATGATTGTAAGAAAATGAAGGGAGAGATGGAGAGATAGCTTGGCAGTTAACAGCACTTGCTGCTCTTCCAGAGGACTGGAGTTTAGTTTCCAGCACCCATGTTGGGCAGCTCACAACCATCTGTAACTCCAGCTCCAGGGGATCTGACACCCTCTTCTGGTCTCCGAGGGTACCTGCATACACATGTGCATATGTATACAGATACACACATACACCTAAATAAAAATAAGTCTTTTAAAAATATTTTAAGGGGCTGGAGAGATGGCTCAGCAGTTAAGAACACTGGTTGTTCTTGCAGAAGACCTGGGTTCAGCTCCCAGCACCCACATGGCAGCTAACAACTGTCTGTAACTCCAGTCCCAGGGGATCCAACAGCATCTTCTGACCTCCGCCAGCATCGCAAGACATGGGTGCACTTACCTACATGCAGGCAGTACACGCATACATATAAAATAAAAATAAATAAATTAAAAAATATTTTAAAATGAAAACATAGAGAAATATCCAAATGACACCTAAGGAGAAAAGGACTTCTCAAATTTATCTTGCTTTCCCTTATACTTTGGCCTATTCCATTTCTATTTTTGTGTATGTGTCTATGTGTGTGTATGTCGTGTGTGTGGGTACCTGTGGAGACCAGAAGAGGGCATCAGATCCCCCAGAGCTGGAAGTGCAGTTGGTTGTGAGCTGCCCCATGTGGGTGCTGGGAACCACACCATGGTCTTCTGGAAGAGCAGTACCTACTCTTAATCACTGAGCTGTCTCATTCAAGAAGTCCTTTCCTCTTCAGGCATCAAATAGATGTTTGCCTATATTTTCTTATGGGAATCAGTTCTCTTCTTCCTCCATGTGGATCCTAGGGGATCAAACTCAGGTTGTCAAGCTTGGTGGCAAGTGCCTTTACTTGCTGAACCATCTTGCCAGCCCTATGAATATTATGGTTCTGCCTTCCCTTGGTCTCTCTGTAGTTGATTTTGCATATGCACACCAGGAGACATACGAAGTAACTCATGGAATAGTGTGCCTAGTGGTAAAAATTGGAGCCAGCCCACATATTTATTGCCAGTAAACTTGACTGAATTGCAAAGATACACAATGCCATTCTGTACTCGAACAGGAATGAACCATAGCTACATGCTTCAACACAAACGCCAGAAGTGTGTGGAATGAAAGAAGCAAACCCCGGAGAAATATACAATAAAGTACAAGTGGTTTGGAGAAAATGGTGCTGGAGGGATGGCTCAGTAAAGTGCTTGCCACACAAGCACGGGGACCTGAGTTCAGTCCCTATCACTCACATATACATGCAGGCAAACACTCATTCACACAAAATAAAATGAAAATCCATCTTAAAAGTATTCGCCTCATATCTTTTCTCATGGGCTTTTGGGAGGATTAAATGAGTCAATACATGATGTGCTTAGCACTGAGGATGACTGGTCACGGCTGACTCTTGGTCTTAGTTAATAATTCCTTAAGAGAAGTTCTAGTCAACATTATAATGATTTATTCACTGGAACAGACATCTACCGCATAGCCTTTTTTTTTTTTAACGAAGCATATACCTTTAATCTTATTTCCTTACAGGAATTATTGGCTGTGGATACTTTGATCCTTGTAGAAAGTTCAAGCCTGAAATATGCGAAATGATTGGGAATTTAGTCTCAGTGGGCCGAGTACTATGGCAGTGGACAAAGGTAACCATGTAACTCACTAAGCAATCATAGCATTCTATACAGTAATGTTTGTTGGAAAAGACAAATTAGGAGCTTGCGTAGATTTATGGAATCCGTTCCTTCTAGAGATTAAATACCTTTACTGAATCATGCTTCCCATCTGTGAAGTATCACTCTAAACCAGACATGACACCCAAGGCCAAGGAGAATTCTGCTCAAATGAGAACACTGCTGGCATTGTTTCTGTGATAAAACACTTTGATCAAAAGCGACATGGAGAGGAAAAGGTTTATTTGATTTACAGGTTACGATCCATCATTGAGGGAAGCCAGGCAGGAAACCCAAGGCAGGAACCTGGAGGCAGGAACTGAAGCAGAGACCATGGAGGAATGCTGTTTACTGGCTTGCTTCCCCTGGCTTTCTCAGCTGACTTTCTTATATAGCCCAGGCTCGCCTACCTAGGGATGGAACCACCCACGGTGGGCTGTGGCCCTCCTATATCTGTTATCAAGTAAGACAATGCCTTACAGACATGGCCATAGGCCAACCTGATGGAGGGAATTTGTCTACTGAGGTTTCCTCTTCCCAGGTGACTCTAGGTTTGTGTCAGGTTGACAGCAGAAGCCAACTGTGACAATTGCTTTTCCTCTTGTTACTCTGATTTGTAATTCCTGTGTCTGTCTCCCTGCACTGAGCCATGAAAGACACACGAGTGTTTATTGACTGAGCAGGTTTCCAGATGTTCTTGGTTGTGTAAGACTGGAAGCCTAACTTGTTTGTTCCTTGGAGGTGGAATGTCGATTAGTGAATAGAATGAGATCCTTCTCAACAAAATTGGTTTGGTTTCATGACACAAATCACTGTCCTAAAATAACAGCTTGGGAACCTGTGGCTGTCACCTGAGATCAAAACAAGGTAGATGCATTTGCCAAAAAGTTGTGAAGGACAGGAAGAATAGATATGTTAATTTACTCTTCATTCATTAAGACAGTTGCACAAATCTGGGCAGACATTTATATCCTAGGAGACCTGGAGTGTGCCAGGCTTTGATTTCTGGGTAGACAATGAAATTCTGGGTACAGAATTACATAGCGAGGAGCTGGGTGTTTCCTATACTAATGCTCTTCCATACTCCCCTGCAGTGATCAGCTCCTGGTATGGGTGCTTGCCTTTGTCCTCTGGCTCTTTGCACATACTGTTCTGCCTCTGAAGAAACTAAGAAATAAATGTCAGGGTCTGAATGTCTGGGACAGTTTTCAGTGGTTTCCAGTAGAGCTATTGTTCGCTGTAATGTGCTTGCTATAAACAGTTCTCTGAAGTGCTCTGGCCTTACAAGTGTCTCCCCATCACTTCCCTTTGCCATCTGAAGGACTCTGGCTCTCCTCCGTCACTGCCTTCTACCTCTTGAACCCATTTTGCACAAGCTTTCATCCCCACTCTTCCCACAAGATTTCCAGAGACCCCCCATCTTGCCAAATCCAAGTTTCCTCTTCCACCGTTCTTTGACTTTTTAGGAGCTTTTGACCTAAACCATCCCTCTGTAATACTTTCTCCCGTTGGGTCTTGTGCCCTTGGTTTTCTTTCTACCTTGCTGACCACCTTTTCAAGCGTTCTCCTTTTCTTAAGTGCCGGGTGGTCTGATACCGGGTGTGCTCTCTGTCAGTACTCTTTCCTTAGTGGTCGTGTCCGTCTTTAGACTGGTGACTTCAAACTCAGTCCTTCCATCCTTCTAAATCAGAGTTACCATATTCAAACATGACTTGTGTAGGGAAGCTAGAGGTCCACCTTGGATGCCATTCTTTAAGAAATCTACCTTGGTTTTTTGTTTGTTTGTTTTGTCTTTTTGAGATAGGGTCTCTCTGTAGCCCCAGCTGGCCTAGTCTTCGCTATGTAGACCAGGCTGGTTTCAGTCTCACAGAGATCTACCTGCCTCTGCCTCCTGAGTGCTGGGACTGAAGGCATGTGACTACCATACCCAGCTACCCCTGGCTTTTTTGATTCAAGGTCTCATTATGTAGCCCAGACTGGCTTTGAATTCTTAATCTTCCTGCTTTAGCCTCTAGAGAGCTGGACTTACAGGCTTGCACTACCATGCCCAGTCCACCTCCATGTTTTTGCTCATGTCATGCTTCTTTTTTTTTTTTTTTGAGA